CTGCTGCTGCTGCTGCAGGCGCTTCTGCGGCTGCTGCTGCAGCTGTCACACAGGGGCATCGGAGCCCTCCCCCTCCGCCCCCTGTGCTGCTCTGTAGCATCGAGGATTCTCATCAGCAGCTGCAGCAGCAGGAAGCAGCAGAAGCTGCTGCCTCTTGCCCTTTTCTGGTTGCGCAGTTGTCAAGGGCAGCAGCAGCAGCAACGACAGCAGCAGCAGCAGCAACGACAGCAGCAGCAGCAGCAACGACAGCAGCAGCAGCAAAAACAACAGCATCTGCAACAAACGATACAACAACTTCCCGTGGAGATGCCGGCGATCCCCCAGGAGCTTCAGCCCTCTGGTATCGTCACAGCAGCGTCCGCAGCGCCACCAGCAGCAACGACTGCAGCAGCAACAGCAGCAGCTGCAGCAGCAGCAGGAGCAACAGCAGGGGCTGTATCAAGAATAGCAGCAGTGAAAAATGTAGCGGACGCACACGGGAGCAGCTTCGCATGCATATGATTCGGTTGGGGGCATTTGCTGCTGGGGCTGTGGTTGGTTTGCTGCTGCTGCTGTTGGAGCGGCAGCAGCAGGAGCAGCTGCAGCAAGAGCAGCATTTCCTGCAGCAGCAAGAGCTTCTGCAGCAGCTGCAGCAGCAAGATGACAACCGCATTATATGGAAGAACGTCACACGGGGGTTCTGGCTAGTTGTGTTCGCTGGCGTGATGATACACAAGCAACCAGACAGCAGCAGCAGCAGCAGCAGCAGCAGCAGCAGCAGCAACAGCAGCAGGAGCAGCAGCAGCAAGAGGTCATCAACAGTAGATATGTGCTACCAGTGCATCGCATTGTCTGTAGCAGGCTGCTGCTTGACATTTTTCCCGCTGCTGCTGCTGCAGTGCCGCGTTTCGTGTGCAGCAGCAGCAGAAGCGCTGTTCATTTTGCTGCTGCTGCTGCATCACAGCTCTGAATATCTCTTTGTCTTAGCCTTTCATCCGAAGGAGCTGAGCTACGACTCCTTTCTATTAAACAACAGCCCGGTTTATGCTGCTGTGCTGCTGCTGGCGCTGCTGGAGCAGCAACTCAAACCCTCAGTTGCTGCTGCAATCCTCAACAGCAGCAATGCGCTGCTGCTGCAGCTCCTGCTGCAGCAGCAGCTCCATCTGCCGCAGCTTCTGCTGCAGCTGCACACCTTCGCATGGCATGCGCTGCTGCAGCGTCCTCTCCTCCCCAGCGAGTTGGATGTGTTGCTGCTGCCTCCACTGCAGCAGCAGCTGCAGCAGGGACTGCAGCAGCTGCCGCCCCAGCAGCAGCAGCAGCAGAACGTTTCGTCATCCCCTTCCATTACCGGTGGTGGTGCAGCAGCAGCAGCAACAACAGGAGGTGAAGCAGCATCTGTGTATTGGCAGCTATGCATCCTCTGTATATTGGTATTGATATCTGCTAGCGGTTTGTTTGTTGCTGTTGGTGGTTTGCTGCTGCGGTGTTTTGGTTTTTTAACTCTAAGAGAGAATTTCACTCATCAAATCAGAAAACAAAAAACAGAAAAACATCGACTCTGTGTTCACGGAGTCTACAGCAAATGCAGACACCCAGCATATGCAGGCTGGTTCTGGTGGGCCGTAGGTAAGATGCTGCTGCCGATGCTGCTGCAGTTGCTGCTGCTGCAGTTGATGCTGCTGCTGGTGTTGTGTTGCTTTGTTAGTTTATAGGGGAGAAGAGGCTTTTTGTTCTGTTGCTGCATCGTCTCTGTTTTGCTTCAGTTGCTGCTTCTCTCTCCTCTGTGTTGCTGCTGCAGTCTGAAGGCATCACAAACCCTAAACCCTAAACCCTAAGCTGTTCTTTGTGGTGTTGTGTTTGCTGCTGCTGCGCTGCTGCTGCGCTGCTGCAGGCTCTCAGATCCTGCTGCTGAATGCGGTTTGCTGCTGCTTATTTTTCGTCGTCTCTTTTGTTTTCTTTCGGGAGAGGATTTACTATGAAGAGAAACAACTTATTAAGTTATTTGGGGGGGAGTATGATGTGTACAGACACCGCGTGAGGACTATAGGGTACGTCAGCAGGGAACTAAGGAAAATTATCTAGTGGGGGGCTTGTGTTTTTTTTCTTATGTATTTGTTTCTCTTTTACTCTTCCTTTTCTATGTATAGCTGCGCCTATGCTTATTTGCTTATTTGTTTGTTGCTTTTGCTTGTAGTGTATTTAGTTGTACTTCTCTGTCGACCGCATCTCACTGCTGCTCGTTTTTCTCTCCTTTTTTTCTCTCTATATTCTTGAATATTTTCTTCTCAGTTTGTCGTTGGCTGCTGGGCGTGGATGCTGTTTGCGTCTGCTTCAGTCAACCTGCTGCGCCACCTCCCATCTGCTGC